GAATGTAAACTGTTGAATGGAAAACAAAATTCCTTTGTAAACTTTCATGTAAATTACAATAAAAAGTTTTTAAAAATTGCTCTTTCTATAACACTTACCTTAGAGTTTTATTACAGCTTAAAATTATCTAATTTCTTAATTTTTTTTTAATCAAAGATTTCTTTTAGGTATTTATTTCCTTTTGATTTTTAATGAAATTTATTTGCTTATTTGTAAAATAAATACATTCCTAAAAATGCAACTAAGAGTATGAAATAGAAAATTAAAATCTCACCCTAAAGGAACTAACATTCTAATATTTTGTCTGACATTTTCATAAACATACTTTGATATGTTTTTTTATCATTAATGGAATACTACTATAAATATTGATTATAAACTCTTTTTACCTTAGAAAGGTATGTCCATATGTTTATCTCTACCTCAGCTTTTTAAAAATGGCTGCATGGAACTACATTTTATAGATATACTATGAATGGCTTAAGCAATTTACCAATTAACACTTAAATTGTTGCTTTGTGATTTGGTTGCTTGGTTAGTATTATTTGGACATTCAGCATGTTGGTTTTTCACTGAATTGGCCTTTGGCAAGCTGGAATCCAAAGAATGCACATAAAAACTACGTTCCATGAGAGTGCTAATTCTCAGAGTACATAAAACTTGTTCCTCTCAAAGAACACTTCCTTCAACTGTGCAAACAGCATTCTCAGCAAGCATTCTAAATTAGAGTTAGCTAGTTATGACCATATGTAGTATCTATATCTCCTAAATGCTAAGTCACTTCAACACGTACCATCAATTTTCTCATTAGTCAAATAGTGGCTATAAAAACTGCTCTACCTACCAAATAGCTTACTATAAAGACCAAATTAAATCTGAAAAGTGAAAACGGAAAGTTAAATGCTATACCAACATGTGGTCCTATTGTAAAAAGGTCCCTAACAAATAAAGAAAGGATGATAAAATGTTATATAAATTTAGAGATTTGTATTGAAATCTTCAATATATCTACTGTTTGTTTCAATCATCTCTTAATATACAAAATATTTTAGGTCCACTGCAAACACAGACTACCACTCGTTTGTCAATTTGTCATATTATGGTGGCTTGCATGTTCCTGTGAGCCTAAAGGCTATGCCACTGGTATTTCAAATACCATCAGGGTCACCATGGAAGTGGAGCTTCCAGACTAAGACAGACTGTGAGTGAGGGCAGGATCATCCGCTTCTGAAAGAACTGGACAATAAAAATGTTATGAATAATAGTGAAACACTGTCTGATATATTACTGAAAATCTTTATGAAAAACTCTGAAACAATGTCTGATACAGTGCCAGAAGATGAGTCCCTCAGGTTGGAAGGACCTCAAAAGAAGACAGGGAAGTCATATTTTGCCTCCTCTAAATAGAGTTGACCTTAATGTCGTAGATGGAGTAAAACTTTCAGGACCTTCATTTGCTGATGGAGAATGACTCAAAATGAGAATGTTGTTGTTGTTATGTGCCATCGAGTCGGAATCAACTCATAGCGACCACTCCCTGGATTTCCCAGGCAGTATCACTACGGAAGTAGATTGCCCAGTCTTCCTTCCAAGGAGCGGCTGGTGGGTTTGAACCACCAGCCTTCTGGTTAGCAGCCAAGTGCCTTAGGCACTACACCACTAGAGCTCCCCAAAATGAGAATAAACTGCTCCAAACATATATTAATAATCGGAATATGGAATATACAAAGTAAAAATCTAGGAAACTTGGAAATTGTCAAAAATGAAATGGAATTCATAAAGATCGATAACCTAGGCATTAGTGAGTTGAAATACAATGGTATTGACCATTTTAAATTAGATAATCATACGGTATACTATGCTGGGAATGACAAATTGAAGAATGGTGTTGCATTCATTGTCAAAAAGAATGTTTCAAGATCTATTTTTATGCACAACGCTGTCAGTGATAGGATAATATCCATACACCTACAAGGAATAATACTACTATTATTCAAATTTACATACCAACCATTAAAGCCAAAGATGAAAAAATTGAATGTTTTTACCAACTTCTGCTGTCTGAAATTGACCATATATGCAATCAGGGTGTATTGATTATTACTGGTGATTGGAATGTGAAAGCTGGAAACAAAGAAGAATCATCAGTAGTTGGAAAATATAGCTGTGGTGACAGAAATGACACTGGAGATCACATGATAGAATTTTGCAACACCAATGACTTATTCATTGCAATTACCTTTTTAAACAAAATAAATGGTAGCTATACACATGGACATCACCAGATGTAATACATAGGAATCAGACCAACTACATCTGTGGGAAGAGGCAAAGGAGAAGTTCAGTATATTCAATCAAAAGAAGGCCAGGAATTGACTATGGAACAAACCATCAATGCTCACATGCAAGTTAAAGTTGAAGCTTAAGATAATTAAAGCAAGTCCCCAAGAACCAAACTACGGCCTTGATTATATCCCACCTGAATTCAGACCATCTGAAGAATAGATTTGACACGCTGAACACCAATAACCAAAAACCAGATGAGTTATGGGATGATATTAAGGACATTACATATAAAGAAAGCAAATTGTCATTAAAAAGACAGGAAAGGAAGACAAGACCAAAAAAGATGTCAGAGAGACTCTGAAACTTGCTGTTGAACAGAGGGCAGCTAAAGAGAATGGAAGAAATGATGAGATAAAAGAGCTGAACAGAAGATTTCAAAGAGCACCTTGAGAAGACACAGTAAAAGTATTATACTGAAATATGCAAAGCCCTGGAATTAGAAACCCAAAAGGGAAGAACACACTCACTATCTTTCAAGCTGAAAGAATAGAAAATTCAAGCCTCGAGTTACAGTATTGAAGGATTTTATGGCAAAATATGACACAGGAAACATCAAAAGATGGGAAGAATATACTGAATCACTATACCAAAACAAAATGGTTGATATTTTAGGAGGAAGTATATGATCAAGAACCAGTGGTAATGAAGAAAGAAGTCCAAGAGTCATTGAAGGAACTGGCAAAAAAAAAAAAACAAGCCTCCAGGAATTTACAGAACATACAATGAGAGGTTTGAACAAACTACATGGCGCTGAAGGCACTTATGCATTTATGCCAAGACATAATTGCCAAGACAGCTATTTGACCAACAGACTGGGGGAGAACCATATACATGCCCATTTGAAAGAAAGGAGATCCAACAGAATTGGAAACTACTAAACAATATCATTAATATCACATGCAAGTAAACTCTTGTTGAAGATAATTCAAAACAAAAACAAATTTATAAAAAAGGTAATTCCAAAAGAGTTGCAACAGTATACTGACAGGGAATTTACAGAAATTCAAGCCAGAGTCACAAGAGGACCTGGAATAAGGGATATCACTGCTGATATCTGATGGATCTTGGCTAAAAGCAAAGAATATCAGAAAGATGTTTACTTGTGTTTCACTGACTATGCAAAGGCTTTTGACTGTGTAGGCTTTTGACTGTGTGGCTCGTAACAAATTACAGATAACATTATGAAGAATGGGAATTCCAGAACATGTCATTGTGCTCATGAGGAACTTGTCCAAAGACCAAGAAGCTGTTGTTCGAAAAAAATCATGAGATACTGCATGATTTAAAATCAGGAAAGGTGTGCATCAGGGTTATATCCTTTCACCATACTTATTCAACCCATGTGCTGAGCAAATAATCTGAGAAGCTAGACTATATGAAGAATGCAGCATCAGAATGGGAGAAAGATTCATTAACAACTTGCGATATGCAGGTGACACAGCCTTGCTTGCTCAAAGTAAAGATGACTTGAAGCACTTACTGATGAAGATCAAAGACTAGTCTTCAGTATGGATTACACCTCAACATAAAGAAAACAAAAATCCTCACAACTGGACCAATAAGCAACATCATGATAAATGGAAAAAAGACTGAAGTTGTCAGGGATTTCATTTTACTTGTATTCAGAATCAACACCAATGGAAGCAGCAGTGAAGAAATCAGACGTTGTATTGCACTGGGCAAATCTGCTGCAAAAGATCTCTTTAAAGTGTTAAGAAGCAAAGCTGTCACTTGGCAGATTAAGGTGACCCTGATACAAGCCACAGGATTTTCACGGTATTTTCTGTCGTCTCATATGCATATGAAAGCTGGACAATGAGTAAGGAAGATCAAAAAAGAGTTGATGCCTTTGAATTATGATGTTGGCAAAAAATACTAAAAATACCTGGACTTCCTGAAGAACAAATAAATGTGTCCTGGAACAACTGCAGTCAAAATATTCCATAGAAGCAAAAATGGCCAGACTTCATCCTATCTACTTTGGTCATGTGGTCAGAAGGGACCACTCCCTAGAGAAGGATATCACGGTTGGTAAAGCAGAGGGTGAGCAAAAAAGGAGAAGACCCTCAGGAAGATGGATTGACACAGTGGCTGCACAATGGCCTTAAGCACAGCAAATACTGCGAGGATGGCACAGGAGAAGGCAGTTGTTTCCTTCTGTTGTACATAGGCTCGCTATGAGTCAGACCCAACTCAACAACATGTAACAACAACAACATCACAACACATAGCATGCTTAGAGACTTATACTTTATTATCTAATAAATTAAATTTCTTTATCAATCATACATAATGTACAAAACATTTAGGTAGGTTATATACAGTATAGTATGTCTACTGATTTATTTTTTCACAAAAGAAAATGTGCTCTTTGAAAAAGATACAAATGGCACAGAAAGGTAGTGAAGTATCCTCCCCAAGGATAACTACTATTAATAATTTCTTGTGCATTTTCCAGATATTTTTCTATTTAAGCAAAGACAATGTAGGTTTGTTTTGTTTTGCTTTTTAATGCAAAATGGACACCATATATACTGTTCTGACACTATTTTTTTTAATCTAATGGATATCTTTCCATATGTGTTGATAGAGATTTCTATATGGTATTTTCCCAAGAAAAACAAAGAAATTCTGTAAAAAATCTATACACAGACCTGTTTTGGATACACCATCTACAGAATTCATTCTTCACTCCATCAGGAATATTGACCTTGACTGTCAATATCTTCAAATTTTCTCCACGGTTAATCGCCAGAATCTGCATGCAAACATATATGACAGAGATTGATTATTTACAAATACATAACTGATAAATTTAACCAGCCAACACTCGTGAAACAATCAAATGGCCATTCAGCATAGAGTTATACAAACTCTCTATTCATTCCTTACCAAGAGTTTATTTTTAAAATAATCATATATTTATACTATTTCAATATATCTCATGAATAAATAAAATCACACTACAGTTTTTGAAAATAAAATGCAGGTACAAAGTCTATGACATTCACTAAGAACAGACTATGGTGATCTAAACTCTCATTTCAGATTCTACTAATTGAAAACTTTGAACATCTAAATATGGAAGAATGTACTTTTTATATTTGTCAAAAGATATTTGCGAAGATAAATACATATAACAAACTCTGTAGCAATCATAACATTCCAGAAATCCTTAGCAGAATGTTATTAGCTAGTAATTGGTACTATTTATCGAGCACTTACTAAATTGCCTGGCCATTCTAAGCTTTTAAAATATATCTTTCAATCATTACATACATCATTTAATCCTCACAATCACTAATGATGTATGTATGATCATCTTCACTATATATATATTAATTTTTCTGAGTCTAACTTGCCCCAAATCACAAAGCTAGCAAGTAGCAAATGAGGAATTTAAACTCCAATCACTCCATGCTCTTCATTAATGTTATACTAGAGCAACTGTACTAAAACACATTAAAAATTCCTTAAAGAACAACATTACCCTGATACAAAAAGCAGACAAAGATATCACAAAAAGAGAAAACTACACACAAGTATCGCTATGAATATAGATGTAAAAATTCTCAACAAAATGCTAAAAAGCCAAATCCCGCAATCTATAAAAATAATTATATACCATGATGAAGCGGAGTTTAACTCAGGAATGCAAGGTTAGCTTAACATATAGAAAAAATCAATTAATATAATACACATATTAATAGAATAAAGCAAAAAAAAAAAAAAAAAAAAAAAAAACTACAAGATCATCTCAATAAATGCAGAAAGATCATTCGACAAAATCCAGCACCCTTTCATGACAAAAACACTCAACGCAGTAGGAACAGAAAGGAAATTCTTAAACATGAAGAAGGGCATAGACAAGAATATCCACAGAACATCATCCTTAACGACTGTTAATGAATTGAATTGTGAATCCCCAAAACATGTATTATGAATCCAAACCCGTATCTTGTGGTAATAACCTCATTTGGGAACAGGATTCCTTTGTTATGATAATGAGACAGTGTTACTGTACAATGTGTCTTAAATCAACCTCTTTTGAGATATAAAAAGAGTATTAAGGAAGGAAGAAGACAGCAGAGATGACTGAACATAGATGTCATGCCACATGAAGATCACCAAGGAGGCAACAAATAGAAGCTCAAAAAAGACAAAGGCCTTTGCCCAGAACAGACAGAGGGAAGCTTTCCCCCTGAAGACACCACTGCAAATTCAGACTTCTAGCCTTCACAACTGTGAGAAAATAAATTTCTGTTTGTTAAAGCTACCCACTGTAGTATTTCTGTTACAGCAGCACTAGAGAAATAGGACAATGGTGAAAGGCTGTATGCTTACTGTGATCACCTCCTATTTACCCCACTGGAGGAGGAATCTCCTAACTTAAACACTATGAGATGGTCAAATTTCCATCTGACCCTGGACAGATGAGACTGACAGTAGTTTATTAATCACGTATGTACTCACAGCCCAGGGGATCAGGATACCACACAACCATGCAATGCTACACAGGGGTTGCGCTAAAGAACACAGTGACCTAGTACTGGATGTGAGAGGCAGGCTTTGTAGAACAAGTGGGTAGGGTTCCTGCTTCCTGCAGGAGAATGTAATTGGTTTGTTTACATGATTCGACAGATGACAGGGAAATGTAGTTCACTATGTTGAGAACCAGGTTGAGTACTGCTGATCAGGCTAATGGGGGAACCACCCAGGTGGGAAGTCTTTCCTGCTAGGTAGGGTGGTGGTGATGCATATCACATGAAAGAAGGAGAACTTATGGTCAGGTCTTTGGGGCTCAGTGAGACTCAAAGATGTACATTAAGGTAAAAAAACAAATAAAACAAAACTCATTGCCATCAAGTCGATGTGATTCATAGTGACCCCAAGTTGGGTTTCTGAGGCAGTTTTCTCTACAGAAGCAGATTGCCCAATCTTCCTTCTGAGGAGTGGCTGGTGAGATTGAATCGCCAGCCTTCTGGTTAGCAGTCAAATGCCTTAGGCACTATGCCACCAGAGCTGCCAAGGTAGTATTTGAAATTTTTGGCCTTAAAATATAATGGTTTCCTCTAAGATCAGATACAAAACAAAGACATTACGGTGTAGTAAATTACCTGGTATGGCTTTTCTAGCCATAAGTCTTTGTAAACTCCATGGTGGAATTTGCCATGAGCAACTGAGTAGCTCCTGATTGTTAAAGTTATCCACCTGGGGTATTTCTGTTGAGAGTGACATGAAGCAATCTTCTGGGAAGTTCACTCTCTCTCAGGTGTATAGAATTCTGATGTTGGCCACTCTGCCAGGCTCAAAAGGAGCCCTCCTAGAGGCAGAAGAAGTCTCTCTGACTGCTGGCTGAGAAGACATGCTGCTGAGAGAAATGAGCTCCTGAGAGACATGCATTTGCTGAGAGAGAAATGCGAGAGACATGCTGCTGAGAGAGACACATGAAAGACACAGGCTGCTGAGAGAGAGACTGCTGGCTGCTAACTGAGACAGCTGGCTGCAAAAGACTGAGTGCATTTCTGAACTTCAATTTTAGCCTGTTGCTTCTCTAATAAACCCCATAATCTATGAGTCCTGTGTGGTCAATGCAGCGAATTATCAAACCCAGCAGAGAGGTGGTAGGTGTTGCGGGAGGAACAGTTGGTCCCAAGGTTGATGAAAGGGCTGGAGGGAGGCAGCATGTCTGGCCTTGCAGAATAGGCCTTGGTGATTCTGTCTTCCTCTTGTGGGGTTAGAGGAGGTCAGAAGATGGGGCTTCCTTGCCTCTTTGGCAGATATCCATTTTTGCCATTTGTTTCAACATTACAGTGGAAGTTCTAGTCAGGGCATTTAGGCAAGAAAAAGTAATAAAATGCATCCAAATTCTGAAAAGGCAGAAGGAAAACTATATTTACAGATGATATGATACTTTATATAAAAAATCATAAGGAACCCATGAAAATATTAATAATATTAGTAGTAGTAGTAGCAGTAGAACAAATAAATTCAACAAGGTTGAAGGACACAAAATTAATATTCTCAATTTCTACATATAAGAAATCAACATTCTAAAACTGAAAATAAAGAGATAATTCTATTCATAATAGCATAAAAATTAAAATACTTAAGAAAAAATTTAAATAGTACAAAATTTATATTCTGAAAACTAAAAAACATTTTTGAAAGAAATCAATGACCTAAATAAATGGAACAACACCCCATGTTCAAGTATTATAAGACTTAATATTGCTAAGATGGCTATACTTCCCCAATTTGTAAATTCAACACAATTCCTATCAAATTCCAAGCTAGTTTTCTTGCAGCAATTGACAAAATGATCCTAAAATTCCTATGGAAATTCAGGGGACCAAGAATAGCCAAAACAGCCTTGAAAAAGAACAGTTGCAGAACTCACACCCCGATTTCAAAATTGAATACAAGGCTACAGTAATCGAGATAGTGTGATAATTAATACAATAACAGAGTTACACATCAATGTAATAGAATTGAAAGTCCAGATATTAACCCATATATCAATAGCCAATTAATTAAGTTCCAAATATTTTATGTGAAAATAATTTAGGCAGAAGTTTACACAGTGATTAGGTTCCCATTCAACAGGCTTTTTCTGTAAATTGTTCTGGGACATTGGTTACAATTGTCACAATATGTCAGCATTCTATTTCCATCCTGTTTATTCTGTTTGCATTCCCATTGATCTGGCTTCCCTTCCCCTTCTTGCTTTCTCACCTTTGCTTTTGGGTAAATGTTGACTGCTTAGTCTCATACAGCTGATTGTTTATATGAGCACTTTATCAATGGCAATCATATTTATAAGCCAGTCTATTACTTGGCTGAAAGGTGACCTCCAGGAGTAGCTTTGGTGCCAACTTCAACAGATACCTTAGAGCTACAGTATCGCGGGTTAGGTAGGTCTGGCCTATTTTAGGATTTTGAGCTTTGTTCTACAACTGTCTCCCTTCTATCTGCAATCTTCTACTGTGTTCCTGGTCAAAACAGTCAATACTGATAGCTGAGCACCATCTAGTTCTAGACTTAGGCTAGAAGAGGCCAGGGGGACTAGTTTCTTCTTTGAGTCTTTGGTTTCCTTCATTCTCTTTTGCTACAGATGAGTAGAGATCAATAGTTGTATTTTACATAGCCACTCACAAGCTTTTAAGACTTCAGAGGCTACTCATCAAACAAGGATGTAGAACATTATGTTTATGAATTATGTTATGGCAACTGACAAAGTTATTCCATGAAACTATCATCCTAAGTCTATTAAACCAAAAAACCAATCCTGCAAGTTGTTTGGATATGTCTAAGTCATCTCCAAAACTGTGCCCTCATGTACTTTATAAGGATATATATATGCAGTACATACAAACATGTACTTACAGTTGCCTACAGCTACACCTGAGGAGCTTTGGTAGCGCAGCGCCTAAGACATCTGGCTGCTAAACAGAAAGCTGGCAGTTCAAACCCACCAGTTGCTCTGTGGAAGGATGACAGAGTAATCTACTTCTGCAAAGATTTACCGCCACGGAAACTCAATGGGGGTCACTATAAATTGGAATCAACTCAATGGTAGTGGGTTTGGTTTTTCCTTTCATTTTGTTTAGAAATGCACCTATACCTGCACATGTATGCACTCATAATACCTTTCTACACAGATATGTACACACTTCTACCTATATAACAACACTTTTTTTGCTTGTTATTCCTATTGCTGCGAAACTGTGTATGTTGCAGCATTTACCAAAGTTGTCC